CTGTGCAGATCTCTTCACGGAGTTTACACACGCTTGTGTTTTCAACACTAGGTCTGAATGTGAGGAGGGGTGTGTGTGCGTGTGTGTGTGTTTGCGGTGTGTGTGCGAGTGTGTGTGCACATTCATGTCTGTTGGTCTCGATGGCTGCTATGGACCAGGCCTTGGGGGCCCCTGGAGGGGGCCACCCCTGGTCAGGCTCTTGGCGCTGAACAGAGCAAGTGGACGGTTCCCCTTCTCTCTTCTCCAAGCCCCGCCTCCCAGGCGTGCCCCTGAGCCGTTCCCCCTTCCACGGCCGCCTCGCCTCGCAGCTTCGCGAGGGGTGGGGCCTGAGACCACCAGGCATGCAGCTGTCCATCCCGAAAGCGTGAGCCAGGGAGCGAGAGGCTGCGGCTGCCGTTTCCTTGGGTTCCATGCCTGCTGGCCGCTCATGGAAGGGAAGGGCAAGAATGCTTCCCAGGGGACACCAAGGCCCTGGGTTGCTACCTCTCTCCACGTCCAACTCCCAGGAGTCCACCTGGCCCCTCGCCACGTGTCACATGCGGCCCTACAAGGGAGCCTCCTTCCCTGACCAGGCTCTGCTGCTCTCCGGGCCCTGGGAGGAGGCTGCCCGGTCAGGGGGCCCCGGGCTGATCCCACCTGTGCCAAGGATTCATGCCATGACTTTGGGCAAATCATTCCGAGAGTCATCGGACCTCTATGTCCTCGTCTCTGATGGGCATTTGAGACCAGAGAACTCTGAAGGGTGGGCTTGACGCCTCAGCCCCTGCCACGCAGCCTCCTGCTCTGCGAAGGCAACCGGACGAGCCTTCCCTTAGCATCAGGGCGGTTTGGGGCCCCCTTCCCAGGCAGATGGAGGCTGCCCGTACATTTCACTCATGTCCACACCTGTCCGGTCCACCGTTTCCCAGTGGCCAGTCCACCCCTCCCGTATTCACTGCAAGCCCCAAGCACTGAGCCAGCCAGATGCTAGGGGGCAGAGCAGCATCCCCAGAGGTGAGAAAGCAGGATACCCCGTCCCTAATTAGAGTCACCCAGCCCCTCCCTGGTGGCAGCAGACAGACCACCAGCTGATTGTCATATCCCGAGGTCCAGGCAGGTTGGCAGCCCCCTTTTCAGAGAAGAGGGGCTTTGTCCTGGGATAGTGAGCACTGGTGAGATGCAGAGGAACCCCTGAGCATGATCTCGTGTCTTAAGATTCCGTTTCACTTGAGAAAGAGGAAAAGACCTATGGACTGTCCTGAGTGGTCCAGGGGGAATGGCCCGAGAGAGGCTGCAGAGCTGGGCGCCTGGAGGTACCTCCAGGCCTGGCTCAGCGGGGTGTGGGGGGGTGGATGCCAGCAGAACTCCCGACTGTCCTGGACACCGAGGTCCGGCCGACTAACCGTGTTTACACGACTTGAGTGTTGAATCCCGATTATAATGTCTGTACCGTCACCTTCCCTTGTCTGTCCCCGAGCCCTGGGGACACAGGAGAGCGTGGCGGGCCTCTTGCACTGCTTTGTCTCTAAAATAAACTACTGAAATCAAACTGCATTTCACGTGTTTGCCCAGTGTTGCTAAAAGCGTGTCATTCCCCAGTCTTTTAATAAAATGGCTACCTTTTTGAATGAAATCCCAGTCCCAGTTTGCCTCAAGGACAGGCCAGGGCCCCTTGCCACACCATGTTCCTGTGTAATGTGTTGCCCGTCAGGCTTGCACGTGTTTAAGAGTCCAGGCCCCAGTGATGTGGTGTGGTTGCATTTTCCAGGAGTGGGGACCGAGAGAGGCAGTTTAGTTTCATAAAGGCCGGGAGCTGCCAGGTGGTGAGAAGGGGGCCAGCCGCACTCAGGGTGTGTGGCAGCGTCTACCCTGGGCTGGGGATCACTGTGCAGCAGTGGCGTCTCTGAAGGGGTTTGGGGACTGTGTCAGGTAGCCTGGTGGAGAGGAACTGGACAGTGGTGAGGCACCAATGAGCACTCCCCGCCCCCACGACTCCCCCTAATGTGACTTGGGTGCACACTGACCTATTTGGGTCCCGGGACACTGTAGAATTGGTTTCCCCTTAAGTCTCGTCACTGGCCTTGGGGGTTGCATCAGGGGGTTGAAAGACCCACTAAAACACACTTAGCCTTTGCAGCCTTTTCCCCAGGGCCGGTGTGCTCCTTGGGAGCAGTCTCTGGGACCTTCAAGGGCTCATGGAAAGGGTCTGCGTCCATGGTAACAGGCATGCAGGTGTGGTGGCCAGAGTCAGTCCTGCTGGCTTCACGACAGAAAGATGGGACTCTTGTTCCCAAGCCTTTCTTTACCAGTTGGTGGGCACATTGGGGTCTGGGACCCTGCAGCATCCGTCTTGGTGGTGGCAAGTGGCAGAGCCACATTTTGGCTGAGGCCTTTGGATAGGTTCGGAGGGTCACATGCGAGGTCTCTGTCCTGGGTGGCCAGCCTGGAGCAGAGGCCCTGGGCCAAGTTCTGCTTGCAGATGGTTTGATTATGTAATGATGGGATCCCACAAGCACTAAGCCCCAAGTGAGTGCAGGCCTTGGATGTCTGTCGTCATGTACGGAGCCCAGGGGAGCCTCCCAAAGGAGTATTTGTGCTGTTGGCATCATGAAGGGGTTAGAGTTTGCAGTGTCTGGCAGGTCAGGCTGGGCCTGAAGCCACTCAACATCACCTGCAGGAGGCAGACCCAGCTGATGTCCTGAGGGGTCAGCTGGGCATCCTTGAAGTGTGCCCACCTATGCTTTTAATCCTGTCCATGAAGGTGGAAACCTTGAAAATGATTTCCTCTCTACCCAGAGGACTGCCGAGTGGGCTTTATGGGAGGTTGAAGGACCTTGGCAGGAAGCTGTAGTTTTCAAGCCAACTGAAAAGCAGCTGTTGTCTGTCCTTGACCTATCCTGGAAGACTGGCCCTCGGCTTGGCTCACACTGGCCGCTGGCAGCAGAAAGACATTGAATGGCTTCATTGATGTGTCTGGGGGTTGCATCTGCCCTCTGTCCTCTATCCCCTAGAGACCGATCCTTCACCCGATGAGATCCCCAACAGCCCCACTCCTCAGGCCACAGCTCAAGGGCCCCCGAGCTACGGGCACCTTGAGCTGGGTGCTGACTACGGCAGGAGCGTGGACCCTGCCCGTGGCTCAGCACGAAGCAAAGAAGGCGCGCGGGTCCTTGACAGATGTCCTGGGCTTCTCCCTCCTTGGTCAGCCGGGCCACACCCTGAAACTGCACACACCCACCCTGCCTGTGCCTGAGTTTGAGGTGATGCACACATACGCACGTGCGCGTGCACACGCATACACACTGTTGTGAGGGGAGCTAGCTTCTCACAGAAGGCCTGGGCCCTCGTCCTGCCAATCTGGGCCCCACCAGACCCGTGGGACCTTTTCCAGAAGTGGCCGCCTATTTCTTCTTTACTTCAAGAGTTGTCCAAGGCCTGGCGTCCTGGAGGGACTGTTCCTTGGCACCACCTGGCCTCCTCTAGTTTGAATGGGGTCAGGCCCCTCTGAATTCAGTGTGCTTTCTCTCAAAAGGCTTCTCGCATGGAGATGTCACCATGTTGGCAGTTCCGGGTCTAGTGCCGACACCTGTGCTTTGTGAAAAATGCTGTTTGCCTCAACCATGTTCATGAGCAGTGTTTACCAGAACCCCAGGCTGGCTGCTGCTTACTCTGTGCCTATATATACACATAATGCCTCTACGAACAAATATACAGTATGTAAAAACATGGCTTCTGTAAAACGCCAAGAACCTTTACTCACTGGCTCTTTTGAATTGGTCGCATGTTTGTTCCATGAGCATAGGACAGTGCAGGTGGCTGTCTTTGGGATGGGTTACTTCAGGGACAAGATGCCCCGTGTTCTCTGCTAACTAGTGCTGGTAGTGGATGTTTGGCACCTCACTGACTAGTGGAAAACAGTGTTGCGTTTGTTTCTGTAACTGTTGGGGTTGGAGTGTAAACCTGTTTCTCTGAAACGTGAAGAAATAAACACCTTCTCAGAGCACCGGGTCCTCGGACGGTGTCCTGTGCTCCAGGGGCTGGGCAGCAGCAGCAGTGAACAGCCCCCTCGCTGGCCTCACCCGAGAGGCCTAGACTTGCTGAGACCCCGCAAACAACTCATGTCATCGTCATGGTTTTCTGATCCAGGCTGTTTGGGCCCCTTGAATCCCCATCGTGATCTGGTGAGGTGATAGCAAATATTCCCCCCATTTTATAGGTGAGGAAACTGAGGCTCCAGGAGAACCAGAAACCCTTGACCAAGCTGCGCAGCTAGGCCAGGGATCCCAGCTCCAGTCCGATGTCAAAACCCACGTTCACGGGCGGTGGCCTTCTCCGAAGCCAGGCCTTGTCCTGGCCATGTCTGCATGCCTAGGCCTATGTGATCCACACCAGCCCCTCACAAGTGTTTGCCGAACGACTGGTTGGCACTGATGCTCAGCTGGTCCATGCCAGTCCAGCGCACCAGCCCGGTCCCTTCTGGTCGTGTAATCCTGCTGTCACCATGGCTCAGTGTTGCAGGCATTACGCCTGCCTGTGACTGATGAGTCCTTTCACCTTGTGAGCCTGTGTCATCATCCTCAGACCTGAGACTGAGACGTGCCGTGTTCTCGTCAACCACTGCAAGAACTTCGGATGCCCCAGAGTCCCGTGCACGTACCAGGTCAGAGGGGGTGGCAGATTTACGCCGAGGGGGCCTGTGGCCTCGGTGGCTGGCACTCCCCCAGGCCTGTCAGGGCCTCTTCCCAGCTCCACGGGGAAGCAGAGGCTGTTTCCCAAACTGGCCCAGCTCAGGTGTGGCTGGGATACAGGAAAGAGGGGAGAAGGAACCGGGGAGCCCTTTGCATTAAGTGTCACTTAATCCCTACACACTTTGAAGCAGATGTCAGCACCCCATTTTACAGATGTGAAAAATGACGCTCGGAGGTACAAAGCCACGTGCCCAAGGTCCCATGGCTAGGAAGTGGCCCAGAAAGGAGTTGCTCCAAGGGGACTGGACCGCCCCTTGTCCCTTTCCCTGAATCCCATCCATCATACCCTCCTCTGAGCCAAGATGGGTGAAGTTTAAAGAAACAGGAAAGAGCCCAGAGCAGATTTATTTTTCCTTCGATACATTTTGTACAGAATATTACAGTCAGGAGTTCTCAGCTTTCACCAAAAGATCAGAAAGTTATTGCAGTTGTGTCCAATAGCTCTGAAACTTCTAGAAAGCTTCCTGTGTTCAGAGAGAGGATAATCTTTTAAAGTCATGGGGTCTGCCCTGCAGAGGGGCGTCCTGGGGTCAAGAGCAGGAGGGGAAGGAGTGTGGGGGCAGCAGGGCGGCCTGGGCTCGGGCAGGCTGGGGCCACCTCCCTACTGGAAGCAGCGCCCAGGCCAGCTGGCCAGGACCTGCACAGGGGACAACAGAGCCAGGACCGCAGGGCACCTCGGGGCCCTGGCTGGTGGGGTCGGCCGGCGCCTCAGCCCTGCCGTAGGGCCTGCAGCTGGCGGGCCACCTTCTCCAGCTCTGCCTCGATGGCCGACAGGCTCTCCAGCTCCTGGTCCTAGGAGAGAATATCGAGGGTCATGCAGGGACCGGCCAAGGGGCATATGCCAGCACCGTGGAGTATGCGGCCAGACTCGCTGAGTGGCCTTAGACACGTGGCTTCGCCTCTCTGAGCCTCAGGGGGTCTCTGCATACGGGGACAGCGATGCTGCCCTACTGGGCTGCTCTGAGTATTGTTCCCTGACCCCATACTGCCCCTCGCAGCCTCTTATCGGGCCTGCTGCCTCCCGAATGGATGCAGGCAGGTACCTGGAAAATGAAACCTCTGGTGCCCCTTAGAGTTCTTTCCAGCACCCCCCACCCCAGGCCCAGGCTATGACGATGGCTGCCAGGGCGCGGCCAGGCCTGGGTTTCCTGTCTGCCGCAGACCGCCCTATCTGAGTGGCCACGAGCCTGTGACACAGGTTGGAGGTTATGAGAGCTGCCCTGGGCCTCCATCCCTGGTCCCAGTCAGAGGGGAGCTCTGGTCGTTAGGGTGGTGCCGGGGCACGTTCTGTGAGCCCTGTTCTGTGCCCTGGCCTCTGGAAGCTTCCAGCCCCCCAGGGCTGGGACTGATGCCCATGAGTGCATGCCCTCGGACTCAGACCGGGAGTCGGGGAAGACCACTCCCCGGCCCAGTTGGAACAGATGGACAAGGGTTGCTATGGAAATAGGGACCCCAGAGCCCTCTGTCTTGGAGTTTAGCCCCTGGCATGAGTTCTGTGATGCTGGGGCCGCTTTCTGAGAAGACCCTTGGGCTGGGTGGAGGAGGCCCACGCGACTCAGGTCTCCATTTCCTCTGCTCTGCAGTCCAGGGCTCCCTCTGCCCGTGGACAAGGGAAGCTGGTGGGCGCCTCAGGGCACCTCGCTCTACAGCTTCAGTGGGTGGGGAAGGAGGTGATCAAAGGTGCCCAGCCTTGTGCTGCGTCCAAAAGCTAGGGAAGGGGGGCAAGCTGCTGTTTCCTGTAGCCCCGTTTCCTGAGTCCTGAGGACACGGGCACATGATCTCTTCTAGCTCCACCTGCCAAGAAAGAGCCATCTTCCTCTCAGGCCACCGAGCCCCTGGTCCCAGACCCAGAGAGGGTTGGAGATCCAAGGAAGGAGCCACATCTTCTTCTGGGCGGGCAGAGAAGACACCTGGGACCTTGGACCTGGGGCCAGGGTCCTAGCCCCCTATATGGCCCAGATTCCCATCTGGGCACTGATGCTTGAACCACAGACACCTTCCCCCGCCCCACCTCCCACCACCAAGGCCTCCTCTAGCTCCAAGGTTGCATTGCCAGCCTGCCAGGGACCCCAGATCCCACATCATCCCCCGCTGTGGGGCTACATCTCTAAATCCCATTGAGCTTCCCAAGTCTGGGCACGGCCAGGTTTTCAAAGCTTGCAAGTGTTCTGGCTATGATAATGAGGTGAGCAGAAAGGACTCCTTACCCCCATTTCACAAATGGGGGAACCGCTAGGACTCAGAGAAGGGGTGACCTGCCCGAGGCCACACAGCTAGGAGGCAGAACCGAGGTTTTCCCCTGCTTCCCCCACCCAGTCGCCACCAGGCCAGTGGTCCAGGGGGCCCTGCCCCTGCCCCCTCTGCCACTGAGGGTGGGAGGCAGGGCCTGAACTTGGGAGAGGAGGGTGTGCCTGAGCTGTCTGGGGTCCAGGAGGGGACCTGGCTGGACCAACTGCAGAGTCTTCCCAGGACACCACGTCCCCTCCTCTCGTGCCCTCCCGGCTCTTGGGGTCAGTGGTGCCCTGGGCTTGGATCCCCCAGGCAGCAATGTCCAGTCCCTGCTGGGTCC